GGCTCAACCTTTGGAACACAAAGGTTCTGATAACTGAGAGTTTGTGTTCCAATGACTGGAACACAAACTCTCAGTTATCAGAACCCTTCAACACCGGGTCAAAAAAGAAGATCTTTTTGACTCACACCACCTGGAACACAAACTCTTAGTCACCAGAACCTTGCAACACCAAGCAGAACATGTCCCTACTAAAACAGAAGGAAAGCAAAAATAACAGAAACACATCAAAGATGCTCTCCAAACCTTTGGATACCCAAACTGGGCGTTTATCAAATCAGCAAGGAAATCTGAAAGACACACAACAGAAGCGGTAAGATAATTACACACAAAAATATTACAATCCCTTATGTTGCTGGAGTCTCTGAAAAACTCAAGAGGATTTTCTCCAAACACAAAATCCCAGTACATTTCAAACCAAACAAAACCTTTGAACAGAGGCTAGTGCATCCTAAAGATAAAACCCCCAGACCGAATATGAGCGGAGTGGTGTATGCTGTTTAGTGCAGCGAGGAATGCTCTGATCTGTACATTGGAGAAACCAAACAACCTCTCCACAGACGCATGATCCAACACAGTGGAGCGGCCTCCTCTGGACAAGACTCCGCAGTACATCTACACCTTATGGACAAAGGACATTCTTTTGAGGACCAGAATGTTCACATTTTGGATAAAGAAAATAGGTGGTTTGAGAGGGGCGTGAAGGAAGCCATCTATGTTGAGAGAAAAAACAACCTTAAACGAGGTGGTGGACTCAGATTCCAGCTTCCAAAAACTTACAATTCAGTTATTGAGTTGATTCCTTCCAGGTATCACCACAACCCCCACCCCATCACAGAGGAACAAAGTACCTTCTCTATTCAGCCAGGTGAACAATCGCCCCTTTAACGACCGACCTTTCACAATCATAGACAGGTTTCAGATATTACAGGAATCAAACGACCCGCTCGTCAGTTTCAATTTGCATGTTTCCAAGCAATACAAGGCCTTGTCTACATAAAGCCTCAAACTCAATGCGAATCCAGACATTTTGAATTGAGAAAGCTTCCTGGATGAGAAGCAAAACGTCTTCAAACCTTGGAAATAGGATCAGAGGAGTCATGCCCCGCTCGCTCAGCCTGTCCAAGCAGCAACAGTTTTTTTTTAGAGTGGCCCGACAAACACCATCAAAACCAGACAGCAGAGCGTCCAAAGCACTGCAGCTTCAAGACAACCCTAAACCAGAAAACCTGTACATTCAGGCAAAGTAAATTAAAATCTTAACAGGTAGCTTATCCAGTAGTGGAAACACAGCCTAACCAGGGTAAAAGTGCACCAGCAGGTGAGGAGTAGATGGAAGCAACATGCTGCAACAACCTCCAGCTGCAGCTGCCAAAACCAGCAGAGCAATGCTGCAGAAACATACGGCAGGTATAGCACCAAAGCCCAACCACAGATTGCACAAGTGGCACTTACGATTTTAGATGAGCAGATCAAGCTAACCAGCCACTTAGACAGCCGACATGTAGGGGAAACAAAGACACATGCACCTCACAGAGGCGAAAAATGGCAAACTGTGTTTGAGTCTTGCTGACTAGATCCTACGGCATGACCAAGAGATCGTGGCAGGTTATGGGCATTCCAATGCTGGCCAGCCCTCGAAAGTGTAATAATAATAAAATGTAAAGCGCACATGAGGAGCAGTGAGTTTACAGTGAAAGGAAACAACGCAGCAGACAAAGCCACCAACCAGGCATCCAGGTGCCAGGCCGCTGTAATAGCAAGAGTGGAATCTTTGCTCTTTGGGCACAAAGAGGCACTACAGAAAGTGATAAAGGTTTNGGGCCACATAAAATGACATGGCGGGCCACATCTGGCCCGCGGGCCTTGAGTTTGACACATGTGATTTAGAGGATGTTTGGCTCAACCTGCTGCTGTGAAGCAGGATTCTCCACCATGAACAGAATTAGAAATAAATATGGATCCAGGCTCAAAATGAGCTCCTTGATATGTGCTTTAGAATGGCTTTGTCTCCATTCAAACCCAGGTTTAATGCCTTGCAGGGCAGCATAAAGCCCACTGCGAACATTAAGACAGAAAAAAGAAAGAAAAAACAAACGGTCAGTTCAGGTGTTTTATAAAATATGGGAATCAGGAAATTGTCTATATACTGTACCAAAAGACTGTTGTTCCCTACTTAAAAAAAAAACACTTTAGATTTTATTTTAAAATAGAAAAATGTCTTTCGTTTTTTATTTTTATTTTTTTTATTTAAAAAAATCTATATATAACATGAATGCATTAACACCTCATTTTATTTCAGTGTTAAAATCTGTTTAAAGTAAGATCATTAGAAATGTCTCCAGACCTTTATTCGGACCCTGCTGATCATTAATTGGTTACCCCTGCTATAAGGGTTGGGGATGATGAACCTGCAGTTACAGCATTTAAAGGCTTTTGTTAGGTTTTTGTATTAAGCTAAAAATAAGCCCAAACACAAATTTGAACGCCGTACATTTATTGATTGCTTTCATATTGCTGAGAATGCAACAGTAACAAAATAAAAATATTATAATGTACATATAGACTGGTTCCTTTAAGAAGGGGGATGCCATCCCCCCTCAACTGGAGTACTGCTCATACCAGTAATATTGATCAGCATTAGCTTCATCTTCAGGTAACATCTGCACAACATTGTTATTTAACAGTATGAACTCTTCATGCAGCTTGTAAAAACTTTGCAGTGTTTCTGATTCTACTTGATCAACATGCTCTTCATTGCCCTTCATACTGTCTGTATCCTTCATTTTAGCTGTAATCTGAGAAATTTTTGCTCCTCTTTGTCCAATAAGCCTGTGTAGTTTCTTTTCAAGTGCCCTTTGAGTCTACTTTGGCTCCCCCTTGTGGTCACCTGCATGTGGTGCGTCTGGTGCACCCAAAAGCAATTGCTCATTTTCCTTTTCTTCTTCTTTTTTTAACTTCAATCCGTCACTCCAAACAAATTTGGGAACATCCACAAGAAGCCTCCATGAAGAACTTTTATCCAGTAAGACCGAGAGGTTCTGCAATTAATTCATTGGGCTTTATCATTAGCGTTTGCAGCACTTCTACTCACTGTGCACCTACAGGCCTGTGAAAGGGCTCCTTTTTAGATTCCTTCTTTATTTTGGATGTCCTTTCCTTGGAGGTTATATTCAATTTTGACGAATTTTACGGCAACAGATCCAATATCTGTGTCATTCTAATTGCCCTTCTGGATAAGTAAAGAACACGTGAAAAACCATGAAGTTTATCCAACAAATATGTCAAACAAAATATTCACAGTACAATTTATTTCCTTTAAAAAAAACAAAAAAAAACCCCCAAAAAATTGTATACAAAGTCAAAAACTGTGTAACTTTTTGCTGCGCAACCCTCCTGCAGTCTATATCCATTTACGGAAAAAAAACTAAAAACAGGAAAAAGGCCTTTTAACATAGAAGTAAACTTCGCAATAAAACAGAATTGTACTGAGGTTAACCTTACAACAAATGACAAAATTACAGAAAAAATGGCATCACACAAAAATTCTAAAAAGTACTATAACCAAAATATTTATTTTTTATGGCTCTAACAAGAATGATTGTTTTGTCCCCAAAATCAGATAATTACATATTATCCACTTAAAATAAAATATAGATTTTTTTTTCTTGTTTTTAAATGTGAATCATCTCATTCCATTAGTAAATTGTCTCACCATCCTGCAAATAAAAGGTAAAATACACATTAAAAAAAAGAATAATTGACTTAAATTTCAAATTTTTACCGTATACTTTCAGCACAGGTGCCAGCGTCAGGTCTAGGGGGGCACTGGCCCCATATGGCCACCGTGTAGAACCACCAATGGGCAGGATAGTTCTATAATTTACAGTGCTGTCAACTCTCACCCATTGGAGTCAGACTCACCCATCTCAGTGTCTTCACACACTCTTACTCCATATTCCCAATTTCTCACACTAAAAAATGACAGACATTAAAACTCAGCTCAGTCTAGTTTAACAATCTCCCTTTGGAATTTAGGAGTAAATAAACCAACACAAATATTTTAATTCTTAAAGCTTCCAGGTTTGTCTCTAGGTCCACAAAAAGAAAAAGAACCATTGCAATTTATTTTTCAAAAGATCAACCACCCAAGAAAAGACCAACTACATTCAGAGAGGATGTGCAGAACAGCTCAGTTACAGTATCCTGGATTCATAGTGGAGAAACCACAGGGATGTTCTTCTTTTATTATTACTTATCATATTCATTTATCTTTACTTTGTTACAATGAATATGTTTAAAAACTTTACTTCCATCACACCTTCCAAACTGAAACAACCAGAGAAGTGCTTTCTCCTGTCATGGTGAGTTTTAATAAAATCTACAGAAGGTCTGAATTGTTGAGCCGTTTTGTCAATTGTAAGAAAAACTAATAACAAATTGAATGACGCTTTTAATCCTTAGCCTATTACCAAATATTCATAGACAGTGTAGTTTGCATAGGTGTCAATTGTCCTGGTTGCTGTATTATTAGTTCCCCATTGTTTAATTTACTTGAACTGCAGAGAATAATTACTGAACAAAGTTGTGAAATTCTTAGTTTAAAGTGTATTTAAGATGCAAGTATTTTAGTAGGGACTATTCTGCTTTACATCAATTCTCTAAAAATAACCAGAATGTAGAAAATAATGTATATTGTGAGCAAAATGCTCCACATAGCTACCGACCACTTATTGTTACTCAGTAACATTTACTGTTTTATAAAAATTCCACATTTTGTCACTTTATTTCATTTAAATTCTCTGGAAACCTCCAACCTTTAGCTGCTCCTACCCTCATCTAACCCTGACAGGGTTTCCTGTCCAAACTATTTCAAAATCTCACCTCAAGGTGTGGTGAAAAGTTGGCAGTCCTGAAATTAAGATTTAAACTCCTCCTTCTCCTGGGAAGTTTGGTTTAAAGCAGCAACGCTTCCTAAAATCCTCCATTCTTTGTGTGTAAACCCAGAGAAGCAGATTTTTCTCCTCTCAGAGCTTCTTCCAGCTGCTTTGTTCCGATCATGGCTTTCAACGAGTGCTCCTGTTCCAACCAGGTGAGTGATGGACTTTGTTTTCTTTACTCTGAGGCTCAGGTTGGGAGCTGCTCTCACTGTTACCGTTAGAAACCCAACCTGCTGCAGGTATTCACTTCACATCTGGGCTGAAAGGATTCTAACGGTCATTCCTGTCAAACTGATCCAGGCGGTTTAATCAGAGATGTTGCTTCTTGCAGCACCAAAGTTTTTCTGTTATTTTTTCTTTTTTCTTTATGGCCTTTTCCTATTTCTAATTTGACACAGATGGTCTGAGAAGGCCTATCTATTTATTTTTTATTCTAATTGTTTCCGCTTCAACTCTTGGTCCTTTGCCGACTTCTGTACAGACTTCTTTTATTTCTTGTTTATTTGCGGCACTATAGAGACTTTAATCTATTCTAGACAGAAAGGAAATGGATTAAAGCTTCAGAGTTTTTCAGGTTCAGATTTTCTGTTTTATTTTTTTTGTTATTTGTTGTATAGTTTTCTTGTATTTTTGGACTTAAACATCCTGTGGTGCAAAAGGATAAATAATGAATTAAACTAATTTCCATTATACCTATCATGCAATTAATCATATAATCTTATCATATAATTATTTTTTACAAAAATAATAAATATGAAAAATATAACTGCGGATGTCTGGGGGACAGTGATTCGCCTGCATGTTATGAATGCTGGCGTATCATAAAGAATAAATTATGAACAGTTTAGTTTGTGCCTTCAAGTCGTTGCCCATAGGAAGACGTTACTTGGATATAACCTAACGGAATATCTTCAGAACAGCTCTAAATGACACAAAACTCATATGGATGAGTAGTACATGTAATAACGTAAAATCAAGGGCCCAATGTAAAAAAAAAAACGGTGTTCCCCTTTAAATGAAATATCCTCCTAATTTCTTTCCAACCAGTTTGCAGTTTTATAAATAAAACTTTATTTATAAAAGCATTTTAAATTTTCAACAAAGGCTGACTGACAGAAGAGACACAGAAAATTTCTATTTCATTCTCGACTGTGGTGATTAAACAAATCAGTTTTTTGGAAACAGGACAAATCCTCAGGCTGACTGAAGGTTATTCTCTGCTCTGCTCTTCATGATTCCATCCAAACACTGGCTCATCTGTACTCTCTTATCCCTATTTGCACAGGCTCTTCCATATAAGAACCTCATCAGTTGTGGATTGCAGCCAGGCAGAACCATCACCATTAAAGGAGTCTTCCACCCCAAAGGCAATCGGTAAAGAAAAAAAAAAACTACCTTTATTTCATTTCATGTACAGATCAAACCTTAACAGCAGAGGTTTAGGAATTGAAAGTTGAAGTACATCCTATAAAAGTCATACAGTGTTAGCCAGGTTATGATTGTCATGATATCTGGAGATCCTGGCATAATGTCCCTCTGATTCGATGGAAGCTAGGCAGATCACTTTATTGTTAGAAGCAGAAAACATATTTTGTAAATTTAAAGGTAATGCATTTTTTTTTGCAAAAAAAATATATGTATTTAATTTAAGAAAAAAATGTAAACAGTTCCTTACATATTTTATGTTTTCAATGTAATATATTTCAAATTTATTACAGATTTTTTTATTTTTTTTTATTTTTTCAAATTTAGGTATATATTTTTTTTATTTTAAAAATTGCAGCTTAGATTCTTTTCAGTTAAGACCACTTCAAAACGCTTGCTTTTGACACACATATTAACCAATAAAAATGTTAATGCTGACGTCAATGCAGATCAATACAAATGATTCTTCAGTCCTCCAGAGAAAAATCTGCCCCAGAATTGAAGAAAATGTGATCAGTAAAATGCAATTTGAAAAGAATTACATTTTTAAAACCCCAAAAAAGAATTTAAAACATGAAAATTCAAATTCAGCAAAAGTGAAACTTTCAGTGAACAGAAAATAAATAAAGAGACTTTCACCAGTCAAACACAGGAGAAAGATTAGCAGAAATGTGTCATGTTTGGTTTAAGGTTCCTAACCCACATGCAGAACACATGGAAACAGGAGAAAAGTTCAAAGGTTTATTGAATAAACACAGTGTCAATAAAGAACTGATCCAAGGGATAATCAGATCCAGGACTGGTCACAACTGGGTTCACTGCGGAGGGGGACAGAGGGGTTAGCTGATGTCCAGGTAATTTGCAGGATGTGAGAGTGCAGGTCTGTACCTGTTCTGAAGTTTGAGCAGAGCGGCAGAGGGGGGGAACCAGGAGGGTCCAGAGGCTGTCGGCAGGCTGAGGGCTTGGCGGAGGCAGAGCTTGGTTTGAGTGCTTGCAGATCACAGGTTTGAGTTTCCCTTTCAGATTCTTCAGAGAGCGGGCAGGCAGGTCTTTGACTGGTTTGATTCTCCAGGGTTCTTCAGAGATCAGATAGACAGATTTCCAACAGAGAAACTCTTCAGGGTTTCTGGTTTCAGACAGGATCAACCTGGGAAGCAGAGAGGA